TGACTTTTGTGTTTGGTTTGGGCTTGAGATGTTAAACAAATAGTGTCTCTTGACAAACGCAAGCCGGCTGCACTGGGACCAGTTATGCTCTGTAAATCCAGACCAATCCTCCACATCTCTCTCTACAGTGATACACCAAGAAACACCTCAGTCATACGCTAAGCACCCTGAATTCTATCCACTCCCCATCAGAGGCCAGGATCCCCGCTCAGCTCTCTGCAGCCGCCACTTCCCTGCCTTTCTGCTGCAGCCCCTGGGCCTACAGGGCCCCTTCCCATCTCAGGCCTGCCTCTGGCTTGATGTTGAGATGGCTCTGAACACTCCTTCCTACAGCAAGCCATGGGCCCCAGGCCCTGCCAACCCAACTAGCCCAGCCAGGCCTACTGGAACGGATAGAGGAGTGTTTATAGAGTGCCTTCTGTGTCAGGGGCTGTACCAAGGGTGGTGGGGCACAGGGATGAGCAGGGCCCTTTCCCTGCCCAGTTGGGTCTGGTCTAAACAGGATGGAGCAGAATTTCATGTGGGGCCCCAGTCCAGCTAGTAATTGATAGAGTCAGGATTTGAAGTCAGCTATCTGACTCAGGGTCAACTATTTCACTCCCTACCTCCCTGCTCCCTGCACCCATCCTCCAGCCAAACTGGCCAATAAAGAGGGGCTGAAAAGCAATGGACAGAGAGGGCTCTGGGCCCCTCATCCTTCAGCCCACATTCTTGACCATTGTACAATGAGCATTGCGGGTCACAGGGCCAGGCCTGTAGTTAGCATCACAGAATATCAGCGCAGGAAGGGACTTTTTTAGGTAGTCAACCCTTTCTTCTGTAGACAAGGACACTGGGCCACAGAGAGGCCATGGGACTCTTTCAAGTCCCCCCCAGCTAGTTGGTGGTTGGTGGCAGCACTGGGACCAAGCCTGGTGTCTGGACTCCCAGTCCAATGCCGTCTCCACAAGCTTCCTCAGGCCTTTGGACACCCACACCTGCCTGTATCCCCTTCCCCCGAACCAGGCAGGGCTCGCTCCAGCTTTAGAAGGGCCTGTCTGCCAGGAGTCACAGAAGCAGGTTGCCGGGGTTTTCCGCCTATGGATTCCACAGTCTGTGCCCCTCTCCCGCTGACACTGCTGGTCTCTCACCCAGCAGGTGTAGGATGCTACTGAGGACACCAGAAAGCATGTGGAGCAACTCTGATGTGCAAAACACTGTGCTCCCACTGCGAAGGGCCTAGCGTGAGTAAGAAGGGTCTCCACCCTGGAGAAAACAATGAGCCAGTGCAGCGGGCCCATGTTAAAGTGCCAGCTAATCTATGACGCAGGAGGAAGATCTGGCGAATTGAAGTTTAGACAGGGTGCCTTGGAAGCACAAAGGAGCCAGTGGTCTTGACTGATGGCAACGGGGGAGTGCTTCCTGGAGGAAGTGGCCTTTGAGTTGGTTCTTGAAGCCTGAGCAGGAGTTCAACAGATAGAAAATGGAGGAGCCAGGATCCTAGCTTATGGGAGCTAGGTGAGCCCGGAGTGAAGCATGAGAGGACTTGGATGTGCCTAGAGCTTAGAGAGGAATGGAGTGAAAGACAAAGCTGGAAAGTAATATGTGTACAATAGCATGCAACAACTAATGATAATTAAATGCAGTATCATTTATCCTAACTCAGTTCTGTCCTTTTCCTACAAACTAAAGTCTTAAAAAGCGGTGGCTAGAAACCTCTTTCCCCCTGATTCTTGGAAGAACTAGGGAGGCAGAAGCAGGCCAGGACGGTCGTGGGATGTTTTAAATAAAGGGACCATAGACATGTCCTGGTCCAAACCCCTCCATTCATGGCTGTGTAAACCGAGGCCCAGGAGAGGGAGTGGCTGGCCCCAAGTCCCACAGCAAATGAATGGCAGAGACAGCACTCTAGCCCCAGGCACCCGACTCTTCACCCTGTGTTCTCTATACTGCACAGGATTCCGGAAAATCATCACACAGAAGGCTGACCAGTATCATGATTTGAGAGATGCAAAAACATCTCTAATTGGCCCAAAGCTTCCTCCACTCAAGTCACCAAAGGATTGGAAAAAAAAAAAAAGAACATGGAGACACCATAGCTGAGCCGTCTTTCCCATGTATAGCAGACAAGATTGACTGGCCCTGGGCAGAGGGTGGGGCATGCCCGGCAGGTGCAGGCAGTCCCAGGAATCTTGGAGGAAAGGGTGTGCCCGAGACTGTGAGGCCTTTGGCACAATCCCACCCAGGTCCAGGGCAGGCTGAGGCGACTCTTGCCTAAAGGTCCCAGGGGCTACCTAGAAGCCTGGATGGGCACCAGCTTGAAGCCCCCCACCAGTCCCACCTCCTTAAGCGAAAGGGGGGAGGAGGGGCAGGAGGAGGAGACACAGGCCGCCCTCCACCCTGGTTGTGCTGTGTTCCCCGAACCGGCAGATGTCCTGATCCCACGCATGCGGGTGCTACAGGGAAAAACCCCGCCACGGGGCAGGAGCCCTGCACCCCCCACTCACTGTTGATCTTGGGCAAACCCCTTCTTACACTCCGTGCTTCAGTTTCCTCATCTGTAACATGAGAGGGTTGAGCTAGACAATCTCTGAAGGCCCTTCCAGTTCTGAAGTGCTGAGAGCAAGCTTCATCAGAATTAATAATAAATGCTCTGCCCCTAAAGACAGCTTTTTCCCTTTTTTCAAGCTCTTAGACTCATAATATCGCCTTTCATCTGCACAGCAGTCTGGCCTGGCTGCCAGAAACAAGCCCCTCAACACATAGCCTTTCGCACGGAAAACCAGGTCTAGCAAACCACTGCTCTTCTAGGTCAGCTTTGGGGGAGCTGCTTTTGGGAGTGTGTGGCCAGGAGTCTGGAACCCAACTTGTAGTCCTACCCCTGGGAGCCGAGAAGGCAGCGTTTTGGGGTGTGTTTTTTTTTTTCCCCAGAAAGCCAGAAGATGCTGCGGGGAGAAGCCTGCAGTAGGCTGGGTTCATGGCCAAAGGGGCAGGACCAGAAAGTTTGTGTCTTTCAAGAATCAAAGATCCTGGAGAAAGGGGTGCGGATAGGATGAGGAGAGGTAAGATGTCACAAACCAGGGCCCTCCCATCAGGCTCTGGTCAGAGCCCCGAGTCCTAGGGGGAAAGGAGATGTTATAGAGCCCCATATTGTCTGATTGCACATATGTGATCTCCGTTGGTCCCTCACAACAATCTGTTCAGAGGTAGTATAATTATCTATCCTATTTACAGAGTTTTTAACATTGAGGCTCAAGGAGTCATAATGGAAAGAACATGGGCCAAGGAGGCAGACTGAAGTCTCTTCCCAGCTGAGTGGTCTTGGGTGACTCTCCACACTGCTTTCAGCCTCAGTTTCCCCATCTATAAAATGGACATAACCACGCCTACCTTTCAGGATTGTGGAAAAGACTCAATAACATGCCCAGCAGACACACAGCAGGTGCTCGATACATGCTTGTTGCAGGAATAGTTGAAGGAAAGAATGGGTTGGTGGCAACACTCCTGGGACTAGCAGTGCAGTGCCCAGAGTGACAGGCCAGCCCAGGCTGTGGGCAGATGGTGCTCCCGCTCTGGCTGGCTGCCTCCTGAGCCTACCCTCAGTCAGGGCCCCTGGGGCCTCTTTCATGTCTGACCTCATGGCCCATGCCAGGGTCCCAGGAAAGACTTTTTAACACCCCCCTTGGCAGTGGGATTTGCATTCCAGTCATTCTGCTCACTCAGCCCATCCAAGTCTGGAGTTGTTTGGAGCTAAGCAAGGCCTGTGGGATCATCTGCCAGGGCACCTCAGCGGGGAGATAAGGAAGCCAGGCTCTGAGAGGGGGAGTGACGCCTGGCCTGAGGGCCCACAGCCTGTCCCTCCTCACCACCCGCTGCCACCATGTCGACAAATGAAGAAACTGAGGCATGGGGAAGACTCCTGGTTCCTCCAGCCTGTCAGATCCCCCAGATCTGGGTCCCACCAGCCCTGCTGCCCCGAGATCTCACTTCTGCGGGGATGTCCAGCATTGTCTCCGGCAGCGGCAGCCCAAGCCCAGCCTGGCCTGCTGGTCCAGGACAGGGGCCACAGATGATGTCCAAACAGCCCAACCCCCTCCCCCCAGAGGGAGCAGAGCCGCTGGGACTGGGTGCTCCTGGCCGAGGAGACCACTTTGTGCCTTCACAGCCAATGGGGAGCCATGCTGACCGGGGTAGGGACACATTTTATGAGAACAGGGTTTTCCTTGGGTGTTGGCCCACGTGTGCCCAGGTCCACAGCTGTGCCCTCCTGTTTCTAAGACAGCCGGAAGCCGGGCACAGAGGAGGGGCTGTGGCCTGGAGGAGGGAAAGCTGGCTGGGTCCCAGTGCTAACACTAACTCTGTGTGTGTGTGTGTGCCTTTGCACGCCCCTTGACCTCTCTGTGCCTCAGTTTCCTCAGCCACATCACAAAGGGCAGAACAGCAAGGCCCCAGGTCCCTTCCAGCTCCAGCATCTGGGATTTCTGCGGAGGGAGGGCGGGGTGGGGGCTCACTCTGCCTTTCCTCTCCCCTTCCTTGCTTTCTGTTTCTGTGTTATCCATTTATCTCCAGCTACCCAGGTCTCCTGTCATGGTCTGCCGCTCTCTGCCTCTCTGGCTCGGTATTTTCCTGCCTGCCTCTTCTTTTCTCGGCCTATGAGTCTACCTCTGATTTTATCTCCCTGTCTGTCACACCCCCCTCTGCCTCTTTTTCTCTCTCCCTCTGTAGTTAGATGCGTTTCTCTGTCTAGTTATCTCTTTCTCTGGGTCTCTCTCTCGTGTGCGTGTGTGTGTGTGTCCTGGCGGCTCTCTCCGCGGCTCTCCCGCTCGCTCCCGTCCCCTCCCCCTCCGCCAGCCACCGCCTCCCTCCCTCTGCGCGTCTCCCCAGTCCTTATTTGGCTGGGCGGGAGGGCTGGCGGGAGGAGGCGGCCCGCGGGCGGGGGGCGGAGGGCGGGAGCGGGGCCGGCGGAGGAGGGCGGTGGGTGGTGCTGAAGGGACAGCTCCGCGGCGGCGTTGGCGGCGGCGGCGGCCCGGGGCGCGGAGCGGGTGCCCAGCGCGGGAGCGGCGAGCGCAGCCATGCCCCAGGCCGCCTCCGGGGCAGCAGCAGCGGCGGCCGAGGCCGGGGCGCGGGCCGGGGGCGCCGGGGGGCCGGCGGCGGCCCGGGCGGGACGATGAAGCGGCAGAATGTGCGCACGTTGGCGCTCATCGTGTGCACCTTCACCTACCTGCTGGTGGGCGCCGCCGTCTTCGACGCGCTCGAGTCGGAGCCCGAGATGATCGAGCGGCAGCGGCTGGAGCTGCGGCAGCAGGAGCTGCGGGCGCGCTACAACCTCAGCCAGGGCGGCTACGAGGAGCTGGAGCGCGTCGTGCTGCGCCTCAAGCCGCACAAGGCCGGCGTGCAGTGGCGCTTCGCCGGCTCCTTCTACTTCGCCATCACCGTCATCACCACCATCGGTAACTCCTCGCGGGGCAGGGGGCGGGGACCCGGGGCCAGCATTCCGGAGCCCACGGGGGCGGGGGTCCCCCGGTGGAGGGTCTAGGCGCCGAACCCAGGGCTGCCGGAGCCCCGAGTTCCGCCTGGTGTGTCTGCTCCGCGGGCACAGGACTCGGGGGAGGCGTCGGTTCCTGGCTCTGGACCCGACTCTCCAGCGGGGCCAGCCCCAACTTGTCCCTGCCAGGCTGCGCGGGGCCCCGGGGGACTCCGAAGTGTGTGAGAGGAGCAGGGACCGGACCGGCGGAGGCTGGGGAGGAGGGGTGTGGCCCGGCCAGGCCGTGGAACCCGGCGCTCAGTGCCAGCCGCTGGGAGCGTGCGACTCCTCCCTGTCCCTGCAGATGGGCTGGGGCTCCAGGGACACGTGTGGATGCAGGTCCGCGGCACGCCGGGGACTCCGGGCCACTCTGGGTTCTTGAAACACCCTGTACCTGCGGGCTGTGGGTGCCTCCGTGTGTGTGTGTGTGTGTGTGTGGCGCGCGCGTGTGTGTGTGTGTGTGTGTGTGTGTCCAGTTCCGAGAGTTTGTGCCTTTAATGCTGTTGGGGTGGCAGAACTGGTTCTGGAAGCCAGATGCAGCCTTGTCTGCTTTCTTCCCTGCTGTCCCAGGGAACAGTCACCTCACAAGAATGGCCCCAAGTGCCCTTCTCCAGGCCACGGCCACCGCAGCACAGGAAGTTACACACGCACCTAGGAGCTCTCACAACACAGGCACGGGCGCACAAACAGGTACACACGCGAGCACACACAGGCACACACAGGCACAGACACACAGCACACAGCAGACGTCCAGGAAAGAACTCTCCAGTGAGGTCCTTGATGTGCTGTTCAAAAGTGTCCAGACGGGAGTAAACACCTTGCCCACTCCCAAGACTCGATGAACCCAGCCAGCGCCTCACTTCTGCCCCTCCATGACCTTGGGCAAGTCCCTTCCCCGGCCTGGGTCTGGGCTCCCCTCCAGACAACCAGAGCTTGGCTGCAATGATCTCAAGGACTCCTCCCAGTCCTGAGGTGCTCCCACCCACCTTCCTCCAAAGCCCCCTGGGAAGCCACCAGGGGCTGTTGCTTCCGCCTCGCCTCTCTCCTCTCCTCCCCCGGGTCCCCTCCTTCCCTTGGCTGGACTCCCAGGGGCTCCTTGCCACTTGGCATGGCCCATGGCAAGATGGCAGTGTTTTCCCAGGAGTCCCGAGGGTGAAAGGCAGGGCTCGAGGCTGTCCCTGCCGTCCGTCCGCCTGTCCGCTGCTGGACTCTGTGGGAGGCTCCACGTCTCTCTGGGGGCCACAGGGAGCTATGCAGGGTAGTTCTTGGATTCCTCTCTTGGAAGAGGAAAAAGAAGGAGCCACAAGTAGATGTGGCCCCAGTGGGGGTCCCTCTGGGTTCTGCTGACCCTGTGAGTTTATAGCAGGATGACCAGACTCAGGCCCTGCCCCAAAGGTCAGGTTTGCTTTCCCGGGAAGGACCAGACCGGTCCTCCCCTTCCTCCTCGGCCACCACCCTGCCACCTGCCAGGGTTTCAGGAGCAGCGAACATTCTCAGGCCTCCCTGCTCTCTCTTCCCACACATCATGCCCCTGGTCATGTGCCCCCTCTCTTTCTCAGTCCCAGGTGCCAGCTGCCCGGCTCCTCAGTAACCTCCCAATCAACCCCTTGCCTCCAGCCTCATCCCCCACGGGGCGAGTTCCCCTGGACAGTGCTGCCAGAAAGGCTCTCCTCAAAGCACAGCTCTGACCACACCAGCACGATACTCAGTGGCCCGAGATGGTCCCATTACGCATGGAATCCAGCCCATGCGCCTTATCTCAGTTTCAAGGTCCTTTATACCTGGCTGCGATCTCTGTGTCCAACTTCATTTCTCACTTCATACTGACGTGATCCCTCCACTGCAGCCAAACTGTTCCCTAAGAACACCTGAAGTGTGGCTGTCTGGCGCACCTTTTTCTCTGCCTTCTATTTATCTAGTTCTAGTCCAAGCTAACCTTCCAGGTCCGGCTCAAACCCCACTTCCTCTTTAACGTCTCTAAGAACATTCCAAGCCACGGCTCTGGGCAATTGCAAGACTTATTGTCAGGATGACGAGGGTGACACTGGAGGCTCTTTTGCCTGGTTATTTAAATGTTAGGGGCTGTGTTTGGTCTCTTTAACCACACTGTCATTAGCCTTCACGTGGGCAGGGCCTTGTGGTCCCCATCGCCGTGCTCCCCGTGCTGGCACAGTACCCAGAGGCACACGTGAGCACGGAGAAGGCAATTGGTGAGTTTCAGGTGTGCAGAAATGAAAAGGCATCATCTTTTCCCTCCATCCCTGCCATCTCCCCAAGTGTTTGTCGTCCTCACCAAGAGAGATGCTAAAGGCTGGAGGTAGAGACAGATAGAGTGTGATTCTGGTGATTATTTATTTATAATGTGCCGGGCAAGAGGAAAGACAGCGTCAAAGCACCACCCTAGTGTTGTGGGGGTCCCAGACTGGCACTGCCCACTCCCTGCCTCCCCCAACCATCCCTGGCTTTTTGTCACCTTTCATCCCGGCTATACCACCTGGCTGGAAGCTGTCCACGGGAGCTCAACTCTAAGAAAAACCTGTCTGAGCTGTGATCAATGCCTGGAAGGGGCTTTATATTAGACTAATTGACCCCAAACGCAAAGGCAGCAGCCTCTGGCCATCTGACCCCTTTGGGGATCCAGTGGATCTCCTGAGGCACCAGTGATCCCATCGGGGCAGGATAATGACAGAACCTCCCATTCATTCAGCACCTTAATGAGCACAGTGCACTTTCATCTCAGCCTTCACAGCTCAGAGACGTTTCCAGGGCAGGTATTGTTAGCTCCGATGCACAGATGAGGGCATGGAGGCTCAGGGAGGGGAAGGGACTCCCCCAGAGTAATGCGGCTGGTGAGCAGTGAGTTAGAGCAAGAAGCTGGGTCTTCTGACTTCAAGGCTAGTGCTCTTTCCCCTGCTGGCCTCTTTGCTGCTTCCTCTGCCTCCATAGGCTGTGAAGCCCAGAGCAGGCCAGGATCAGCAGGACCAAAATGTGCTCAGTGATGCCAGTTTGCTGGGCACCCACCATGGGCAGCCTTGATTGGTTGAGGGTCAGCAGGGCCAGCATTAGTCATTCACCTGGTTAGTCACAGCCTCTGCTGGCTGCAAGGATTCCTCAACTGCCATCTCTGGCCTCCTAGCCAAGAAACCCTTCCTTTCTTGGGCCTTAAGTTCATCATATGCAAACAGAAACTGGGAAGTTTAACCTCTCTAGCTATTGAGTCATTAAACTCCTCCAGGGCCCCAGCCCCATCTATTCATAGCCGGAGGCTGTCAGAGCAGGGAGGGGCCTGGAGATCAGCTAGTGCCCCCCTCCTCTGACAGAGGTGATGGGCGCCAGACAGCCAGAGGGTAGCGAAGCCTGCCTCCCAGGCCCCACCTTGTTCAGGATGCCTCTTTATTTAGTATTATTATTAACAGCAACAATAATAATAGTAGCCACCATTTAATACCTACTCTTCGGCAGGCCCTATCCAAAACTCTTTCTTTCTATCCCCTCAATTCATTCCCTCACCTACCCTTCAAGATGGGCACTATTACCTACATTTTTCCAGGGGAGGAACCGAAGGCTCTGGGTGTAAATGACTCACCCACCCCCTTGTGACTTGAAAGGAGGCACCTGCCCAGATGCAGCTGAGCCTCTCTGACTCCCATGCCCCGGATGTCTTGCCAGTTCTTTCTCCACTTCAAGAACTCAGCCCAGACCCTGTAACTCGAGGGCACCGAGCAGCCACAGTTGTCTTTCCCCCAACAAAGCCCTCTCCAGCCGGCTGCTTCCCCGCATCCTTTCCCCTGACCACGTGCTAGAGCTGTGCCCAGCACCAGGCCTACCTGAAGCTGCCACAGGCTCACAGGTGCCTGTTCTCCCACTGCAGGTCCCAGAATCCTTGTGGCTCTAAGACAACATGAGGCCAGATGATGATTAGCTGAGGGGCTGGAGCAGAAACGCTTCTGTCCTGCTCTTTCCTCAGCCTCCAGCCTGTTCTCAGCTGAGCACAGGTCCCATGGCCTGGGTTAGGTTATGAATTCAAGCCGGCCGCTCACTTGTTCCATCTTTCCAAGGAGGAGGAAAGTACAGAAGTGACCTGCCATCCCCAAATCCCAAAGTCCTCAAGCAAAAGAGTGAAAGGAAACGTTAGCAATCCTCCAAACACCCGAGAGGTGAGTGACTTGCCCAAGGTCATACAGTAAGTGGAAGGTACAACCCTGAGTAGAACCTGCACCTTTGGGCGCCCAGACTGAAGTTCCCTCCATCACCCCAGCCTGTTCCCCTCATGACCCACCATCTCTCTTAGCACTGGGCCCCGGCCGCCTATCACTCCACTGTTCCCAGTCCTCTCTTGACTTCCCAGGGGGATGGAAGGGCAGCCCAGCTGGCAACAGTCCCACTGCCCTCTCTCAGTTGGCATTTCCTTCCTCCCTGCCCAGAGGCCACTCCTCGGCTTCAGCCACACAAGCCTTTGCTGAGGGTGGTGTAGAAATGCAGGTACTGGCTTAAAAGCCATAGTGCCAGGGTTCATCTCTCAAACCACCCCTCCGCTAACTCCCCCCAAACCCCGCCACCAGCTGTATGATCTTGAACAGATGACTTAGTCTCTCTGAGCTTGTTTTGTCATCTACAAAATGGGAGGATAATATCTGCCTCCCAAGATGAAATGGGAGGATATTAAAAAAAAGTGCCCGGTACAGAGTAGGCACTTAATAAACAGTATCTGCAACTATTGGCGCTATTAGTATTATTGTCTGTGTATTATTACTTCCCCAGCGGGAACTGCTATTCCCCAAGGACTTCTGTGACCACAGCTACCTCTGCTCCTTGCTAACAGGTGGGGGCAGTAGGGCTGAAAACCAGAGGCTGCTGCCCACTTCCCTTTATCCTCCTAGTCCTCCTCCCCCATCCCAGGCTTCCATGGTTGTCACCTATGCCTGG